CCCCCCCCCCCGAGAAGTTTTTTGATGCCATAATGCAAATTAATTGTTCAGCTTAAATAATGTAAATTATAAAGATTTTTCATTTTCACTGATTATAATCGTGTTTGATATCAAAAGTTTTTGATATATCACTTATATAAAATATCAATATTCGACCGAATTAGGATTAGGAATGACGGTCACATATAGTCACTATTTTATAATGTGGTTATCATTGATAGCAAGTGATCAACATGAGTTTTAAGTATTTAGTAATAATTTATAATAAAGTTTCAAAATCATATTATAACCATAAAAAACTGTGCAATTAATTGATGCTCCCCCCCCCCCAAGAAAAAAAGGTTTCACAGGTACGTCACTGGTGTGCACGTTGTCGGCGGTCGACTATTGTTGCCCTGCATCGCGTTACAAAATATTATTAAAAAATACGGAGCCAGTACGTGTTAGGTCGCGTTTTCTTCGCACCGTGTGGACGCGCGAAAAAAAAAAAAAAAAAACGGTCTGTGTAGACGTGCGAGCGTGTGATTCGTGTGTTTTTAATTTCGTACGGAATTCGGAAAAAACGGAACACTACTCGGCTCGACGGGCCGTTTCGGCGTACAGTTCGTTTGCAATAGGTATGATCGCGCACTGTGCGTTTTAGACGATAGCGCGTACGCGTTTTAACAACTTGTTTTTGAAACAAATACTATCGGGAGCGTGCACGCGGGGAATGGTGTAAAACCTCGTTGTCCAAAATACGGTAATTTAAACGCACTCATGTGCGCATCGTACAACGTTTTTGTTACTTTTTTTAAATTGATTTAATTTTAAAATAACGTTAAACAGATTAGATATGAATACAGAAGATGATGTGTGAAGCAGCTTGCTAAGCTTATGCGTTGTATATCGAAGCAAAGCAATAGCACAGCGAGTCGACGTTTGGTAACCGAACAAACCGATTATGAACCGAAACGCGACGTCGAAAACGTCCGGTGTGAACACACCATGGAGAATACTTTGTTTAATCTTAATCGTTGCAGCGTCCAAAACGCTGAAAATTAAACCTGCGCGTTTCGTAGCGTTCGGACGGTCAGTTTTTTCCCGGTGTGAACATGATATGTTGATGCGTGTTCGATTTTTGGCGTACGAACGCCGCACCTAAAACGCTTTAAAACGCATAGTGTGTGAACCAGGTTCAACGTGATAACACGGTGGTCGGATCGCGGAGCTGTTGCAACGGGCAGAAACGCACGTCGAAAGTCTTATCTCGTCACCTTTCTGTCCTCAGTTGACGGTGCAAAAATATCGCCGTACGCGCATTCCAGTGGCGCACGAGATCCCGCACGGTCGCAACACCCTACGCCGACCCAGTGGCGTTGTACATAACTTTTGTATGGGAAGGGGATCGGTTTCAAACAAATGATTATGGTAGGAAAATTCCTAAACCTAAGTGTACTTGCACATTTAAATGATAAATAATAACAGATATATACATTGAATGTGTCAAAATAATAATTTACAATAAATCTTTGCAACATTATTTTGTTTCCTTATAATTTCGTTACGTAAAAAACACTATTTTATGCAATTTTAAAAGGGCCTATTATCCCCCCCCTCGCATACGCCCCTGGGCCGACCGCGGTTTTCAGTATCGGAAAACACACGGTCGTCGAAACGGTTGTCGTTTCTCGCGATACGGCGGCAACACTTGGCGTACACGGGCTCCTCGCGGTGCGCGACACTCGGCGCAATGTCGACCCGCACGTGATCGTCCCCGCGCCGGCGATAACCGTTAAATCCGTCGCGCAAATCCGCGGCGGAACCGAAGAACGGGACGCGGAACCCATCGATTATCGGAATACGGGGCCCACTCGACCGGTGCGAGGGGGCACCCGGAGGGCTTACGCGGCACTCGACGGGCAATAAAGATCTCGAAGACGGACCACGTGCAGCCGCGATGGTCGTCAGGCAGAAAAAACGAAAAAATAAAAATAGTAATAAAACAAAAAAAAAAAAAACTCGTCAACGCCTCCGCCTCCCCTCGCCGCCGTCGCCGTGTCGCCGAACAACCCCGAAGCGTCGGCGAGTCGGTAGCGGGTCGTCGCCGTCGGTCCGGGAGTGGAAAGGGAAACGTTCGAGCGCCGCCGCGGTTATATATACGGCCGGCCGGCGCGGACATCAGTCAGTTAATCGTACGCCCGCCATCAGTTCGAATAGTGGTGCCGTCCCGTACGTTTTCCAGTAATAATAGTAATAATAATAATAATAACAGTAACGGCGAACGGGTAGCAAGCAGTACCTGCCGACGTTTTCGTTTTCCATTTTTTTCTTTTTTTTTTTCCGTAATTTTTCTCACGAGTGCCAATTCGGTTGCCGCACGTTTCGACCATCATCGTCGCAGTCTCGCCGGTCAACGACAACAGTGACAGAACGTTTCGAACCGGTGTCCGGGAAACATATGCACAGGAGATGTGAGTAATTTTACATGAAAACCGTTGCTTTACGCCGGTGTACACTTTTCAACGCTGTTCCAATCGAACTCCTCGTGCGCGATCGTAATGATAATTTTCTTTTCTCCCGCCGCCGGCCGTAGCGGAAGGTCATGGGACGTGTGAGACATACCGATTACTGTCGATTTTGACGCGTGGTCGACGTATTTTTAGCGCGCGGCGGCACGTGCCCCCGTACGTTTTAAGACGCACCATTTATTTTCTCTCTCTTCCTTTTACCCGGTAACGTTTTTTAATTTTTTTTTCACGCGATACACTTGCGCGCAGATCGCAGCGCGCTAAAACGTAATGTTTCATAAATCTTCGCCGACGCGCCGCGACCGCAGTCTCGCAAAGTCTATTTATAAACAACTGTTGCGTAATCCTTGGACGCTCCGTCGAAGATCCGTGTTGCACATCAAACGTTTCCCTGGGGGTCGTGGAAGGGGCCGTTCGATTTTATTATCGACCATCGTTAACGTTCAGACCGTTGCGTGCGGCGTCCTATTTAAATAATGATATTAGACATTGCGTTATTACGCTGCGGTCGCCACATCGTTATCGACACGGGCACGTTGACGAAACCGACGAATTTTCGACTGCTGATACGTTCCATGATAACTTTATGCACCACGCTCGACTCGTAAGACCTACCACCGCACATTTATCGTTCGCCTGCGTAGGAGATTTAATACGTGATAACGTGACCGTCTGTTTAGGGATTAAAATACATTTATTGTCCAACGAACACTTCCCGCTATTCAATACCGTAACATGGGAAACAAGTATATATGATGAATGGGCTCGCTTTCTAGAATTCGGGGACGCCGGCTGTATACTGAACCCTAATTTCCAAGGTCAGACCACCCCCCGAGGGCATTAACAAAAGGTTGTGTCGAAACACATCCTTTTACTGAGAAACAAGGTACAAAGGAATCATTATTATTATTTTTTTTTGAACATTTCTTTCCGAACGCGTATAATGTTCACATTTATGTACGCGCACGCACGTTATACAACAATACACGTTGGCTAGAAGCGCATGTAGGTCGGTTTACATGAAAATAACTCGGGACGATGATTCATCCGGTCAAGTCGTTTGACAAAACCTATACCGGAAAAGGTAGTAGTCATACGGTACTGCACTCCGAAATTTTCCGATCCAATTCCGACCGAACGAACTCCTTTGACAAACCAACGCATGCAGGTTTTCAACGTTTTTCGTAATGACTGTCGTACAACGGCACTCGTTCGAATATCGAGATTAAAACACTAAGTAATTACAACGTCCGTCTCCGATGTGGTGTATCGTGGTACAACGTAGCTTTGTAATATTTCACTTTTGCCAGTGTACCGATTGCGTTACCACAGTGCAAGTACCCCCATGTATCGTATTGTTGTACTGTCCAGCTACCCCTAAACGCACGTCGACGAAACCAATATTGGGTTTGCACCCTTCCGCTTAACAGTTTCGGGTTAGATCGTTGGGCGGTTAGCAAACATGAATTCGCTTGGTGGACGCGCGCTTTGGACTTTCATTCGCTGCACACGGCCCCGGCGTAGGTGGTGTAACGAAAGGAAAATTCGAAATCTATCGTCGCGCGAAACGCAAACGGCGTGCGACCGATGATCGTATCGATAATAATTGTTGTTTTTCTCCCGGGCCGTCCGTTATTACCATAATTATCGTAGTGTTCCGTCAACGTCGTTTTGTTTGCTTTCCAAAATTCATTATAGACGGTTTTCCTAACCGGTTTTTCGGACGACGGTCGTATCCAATATAACCACTTCGTCGCACGCACACGCGCACGTACTGGGCGCGCGCACGTATTTCGGCGGGCACCGAGTGAACACAAAGCACTCCGATAACCGCGACCGTCGTGGTACGGGTCTCGTCTCCTATGTCACGAACGAGCGGTCGCGTGTGCCGTATAACACCCCTCGGCCGGGTACCCGGGCTATCGTCGCGCGACGTACAACGGTAACAATAACGCATTAACGTCAGTCGTCATCGTACGACACCCTGTTAAGTCAATACACCGTCCCGTTGTCAACATGATAATATATAATGACTAGAGAGTGCAAGCAACAAAACAGTTATTGGATGGAAAAAATGAGATACACACACACGCGCGGGCGCGCGCGCGACTCGAAAATAATTTCACCGGTAACGCGGTACATGCTCCTGTACATGCCGTGTGAGCTATCGAAATGTTCGCTTTGATCGTACACATAATATACGTAATACTTTTTCAATGTAAATAAACCCGACCGCAGGTCGAAAACCGTACGGCAACTTTCCAGAAAGTTGCTGCCACCGTCCTGGTGTGCGCGTTTGTCGCAAGGTTGAAGTTATGACCTCCGTTCCGACAACGGTTCAGGTGAAAGTGCCTCCCCCACCCCTTAACGTTGGTCGTGGAAGGGAACTATCTTTTTTCCTATACGCACGAACGAAAATCGACGCCAAGTGCAACATAGTGCATACACCGTGAAACTAGTTGCCGGACGTTAACATTGTACCCGTGTAATGTACTCGGATCCTCTCCGGTGTTGACGGTACACCGGCGTTACAGTAAAGTACTACACCGTATCCATACACACGTACACGTATGAACACAATTTTATTGTTATTGTAATTACGTGTATCTATTCCAACTAGCAACTATACTATTTACAACATTACGCACATATTATATACACATGATGGTTATAAAATAAAACCGGTGTCCGTTTGTAATACACTCGACTCATGATGCATGATAATATCATAATAATAATCATAATGCATTTATGCACGCGGTTTGTAATTACCTCGTGGTCGGGGCCCTCCCACCCACGGATCGCGTACTTCCCGATTTAATATATTATATATCGTTCAAGGTCGATCAGTACACCATGTTTCGAATATTATACAAAAAAAAATTAGCAAGGAAAAAATGATTAAAATTTCTGTAACACGCAACCCCGCCGACTTTTATACAAATATCTGCCCTTTCTCCCCCTCTGATCAACGTTTGTCGCCGCCGACTCCACCATCTCGTGTACGCGGCTACAAGTTATAAACATAAAAATTAATTTAAAATGTTAGTGTGTAGAGTGTTATTGCAGCCCGTTGTTAAACCCTCTCAAACTCCTATACACACACACACACACACACACACACACACACACACACACATACACACATATTGTACGAACCCTTTTCTCCCCGGACCGTATTGCTTCTCTCCGTTTATACCAACGACTGTGCAATACATCGGTACTTAGGTATTGGTTGTACCTGTATATTTATGACTTTGTTTTTATTTAATTTTTTTCCGCTCTTCCATAATTGATAGTTGTATTTTTCTGTTATTTTTCGTGCTGATATACACTAATAACACACACTTGACGGTTGTTACTAAAAAATATGCTTCTGACGGCGCCGGACCACATTATTTCGTTTCGCAATTATCAACACAAATGGAGTGTGCCGATGCTTACTACTGCGTGCGTGCGTGTTTACTCGTAAACTCATGACGAGACAGAAAGCGTCTCGGACCTACTTTTATCTGGAGAAAAAAAAAAAAAAAACTGAAACGTCATCGAAACGAAAATGCGATACTGTCGTCGGTCGCTGGTAGGTATATTGTTCGAATACAATACAGGTACGGCTACGCGCACACACGTTAATTACCGTTTACCGCGATAAATCAGTGCATGAAGTGTATTTATTGGTATAGAATACGATTCGTTTCAGAAATATTTCGATGATCGTACGCACGCACCGTCCATTTATAATTATAATCGTATGCAGTCGAATAACGTTTATACGGTCCGAGATGTACGATCTATCATTACGTTTGTTGTAAATGAAGTTCTGATGGTAGTAACTCGTGGTGGACGTGCGCGCTCGTGCTCCTGCAAGAGTACGGGGAAAACACAGTTACTATGTAGTAGCACGTGATCGAGTGGCGAGCGAATTATGAAATTTTGTCGTTTTGACGTCGGCTAGAAGATCGACGGTGCCCGCGCATGCGTAGACGGAAAGTGAATAAAGATTAAGGATTTTTTTTTTTTTTTATGCGATTCGATTCTCCGCGGCGCTAAAACTCGTTTTCATTAGACGTAGATTGGTATGAAACGTATGAAAAAAATAAAAAATACTTATTACACTGTACATTTTCACCGGGCGAACGCGAACAGTGTGCGATACAGTCGTGCCGAATCGTACACCGCACAATGCACTGACATTGTGTCGTTGAAAACGCGTAATGACGATTTTCGAACACTCGTCTGCATAATATGAAACGTTTTGTGTATATTTTATGTTTTTTTTCCGCTGCGATACGCGCGTTTGATTTCACTATCATGCGTCCACGAGCGGTCGGTGTACAGTCGCGACAGAACATCTGCTGAATAATCGTGTACACCGGTGCGGCGGGAACGCGTCAAAGAAGTAAAACACGTCTTACTATATGTACGCAAACGCAGGCCTGTACGTAGGACCGGCAAACTTCGATAGGCGTGTTTGAGATTGCACGAAATCAAAATTTTAACGGCGCGCGAGTTATGATTTACTTTAAAAATTCGAAATTCCTTTAAAACTAAAAGCCAACTCGAATGAAACAATTGTGTTTCGTGCAATAACGTGATAATCACGTTTTGGCCGGGTTACAGCAAGAGGAAAAGTAAACAAAATTCTTAATCGAATAACACAGCGGTTATGTGTTACGTCATTTCTCCTACCATTATTTTCATTTTTTTCGATGGTTTAAATAATATTCAATTTTTAATGTCTGAACGTTAATGCATCTATATTAAACGCATTGATGTTAACAAATTTATTTCGATGGTAAAATTCGTACAACTCAAATAAATATTTACATTTCAAATTTATACGTACCCGTTATCTCTTATATACAGCCTATGGGTGAGTCGTGAAAATCGCGCAATGACAAGTCGGTACATGCCATCAGAAGTTTTATGTTGAAGTGTGCACGGGAAAAAATTGTCAAGCTGATAAAAATAAACAAAGTATAATATTATTCTAGAATATATACAATTATGATTCGGTGTTTTGCGATTCAGGCCTGTCGAACGTCGGGATGTATACATGCAGTCGAAATCGAATTCGCTTTTATTTTGTGATAAACTTATTTCTTCTTGAAATCAATTCGGTTGCTCTGCAGCATGTTTCACCAAATCTAAACGTTAGCTCACCATAACACGCATATTATCTCGTGGAACTTGGCGATTATAATTATACACGCGCATTTATACAGTATGGTCGTGACGGTTTCGCACTGAATCGTACGCATACGGTTGAACTCATTCCTCGCGGCACACCCTGTATGTATGTATATAGAACATGGCCCGCGCGTTTATCTTTGCGGCGGCATGTGGGTTGGATCCTGTCCAGCCGAACTATTTTTTTTATTTTATTTCTGAGTGAAAAATTCGTATGATGTGCGTTCTCGCCGCCGCCGCTGTTATTATTCCTCTGCTGTGACGAAAAACGGTATCGTTTGGATTTCGCGTGCGTGCAAAGGGTACGCTATAAACTAATTTAAATCCGGTCGTTCGAATTAGAAAAAAAAATAGAAAAGAAGAGGGGGAAAATGCAAATCGTCCATGAGATACTGCGAGGTCCGCCCGCGCACTTGGTCGTTCGTCGCTCTGCGGTCGTCGCGCTCGAAGTCTCTCGATTTTAACGCAGTGATTTTTCGCTTGTTTTTCCTCAGGTATTATATAACATAGTCCTATGGTGGTTTGGTTGTTTTGTTTTATTTTTCACCATATATGCTCGTGTGCCGGTTCACCTATTCTGCCGACGCCGTCGATTAACGAGGATAAAACGTATAGAAAAAACGTGTAAGTCAACATTATAAATTATAATATATTATACACAGATGTTTTGTATAGTGTAGTGCAGTGTTTCTCAACCTTTATACTAAGGCGGCCTATAAATGTCCTTTGTGATGGGTAGACGAGGCTCAAAAAAAAAAAAAAAAACCTAGTGTGCTTTGATGTAATAACATTACAAATAATTTTATTATAAGAAATTTTATCATATATTTTTACGCAATACTGCAAAACTGAATGTATATAATAATATTTTGATAACTAAGATATTTTTTATTTCTCTTGTCATTTAGTTTAGTCATTAGAAATGCATCAAAACTATTTTGCGAAGCAATGTTGGGCCATGACCCATAGTTTGGGAAACGCTAGTGTAAGGCCATACCGCGTACGTCATGGAAAAATATACCTGTTTAATAGGATGTGTACAACTGATATGTTGTATAATTATAAAATTAAAATATTAAACAAACCTATATCTGTATATATATATATATATATATATATATATGTAATATATTCATAAATCATCACATGCGTAACCAGACGAAGATATCGTCCATTTATCGTATAATACTTTGTATATTTATAAATGATCTTTGCTCGCAAATTATAATTTAATTACCACTTGATTTTTCGTTTATCTAATTGCCACATCTCTCATCGTTTGCAAAAAATATTTTAATATCCCAATAACAGCATTACTGATTGTGGAGCAGCTCTAGTCGTATCATAGCTGCATATAATTTAATTCAAACATGTGTACCTATAATTTTAATGTATTACGTATGACCTCGATGATTATAAATAAAAATCCGAGCGATTAAAAATATTCAAAAGTCACTTCTTATCGAATTTTCATAACTAAATTAATATAATTTATAAGTATATATAGGTTTCTGTTATATTTTTGCATTTCAAATTTAGATATAATACGCGTCTTGTATATGTATTTACAATAAAATTAGTTATATTTTATCGAAGTATACCATTCGCATTACGTTGTTCACTCGAATAATGCCGATTCCTTAGAAATTATTAATGTAACTCGTCGTCGGGCTTAACGTTTTTATACCTAATTTGTGTGGTACCGATAGCGTTCGTGTAATGTCACAATTCGATACGCTTATTGTTTTCACATTGCTCAGGCTTTTTATAATGCGAAAACTAATGAAAAATGCAAGATTCTATGAAACGTTAAGACCTTAAGTTGTTTCGGTATTTTGTGGCGTGGACTGAAAACACGGCGTAACTTCCGCATTGTCGTTTTCCAAGTTTTCTTGAATGAACAGTATTTATTACACTAACGTTCAACACAGCGTATTACAAAAACCCCATGGTAACCAAAACGTGTTCACATGCGTCTCTCAGTTTTGGAACTTGTCGTCTGCGCCGCACTGTAAATAATAATGATTACAAATCATCTCTCCTTATTGTAATATTATACACCAAGTACTTAAGCACACTCACCATTTGGAGTAACTCTCGGTGTCTGCGCGCCAAGCAATTTGTAGTATTCACATAGGACGATAAATTTTTCTCGGCCGAGAAGGAAGGACGTTTTCGATTCGTCGCCTGCATAACAAATGATACGAGAGCATGGAAAAAAATCATCTTCTGGTACACGACGTACGCGAGTTACATTTTAATGAATTCAGCTGCTGTGTACTACACACGTATTCTCGTATTTTTCCACGAATATGTATGTACACGTATGTGTAGTTTATACATTATTATTATTTCTTCCCGGACGATTTATAATCAACAGCCATACATTCACAAGGTCTTCCCCGAAAACAAAAATTGAAACTACGCGTGTAATTCTGATTGTGCATTATTATTCATGATTTTCTCTGTACACTCGATCAGTACGCAACGACGACATAACGATCCTGGTTAACCGCGTGCGTCTCGTAGCTGATATGTGATTTTTGGTAACATTACGAAACAATTACGATCGTTGTCAAACGTAACGTTTTCGGTTTGAAGCCGCGTGACGACGACGACAACGTTGGCGGTCGTCAATCATGCGTACTGGCCAAGGTTTTCTCGTTCGAGAGCCAGGGACGGATTGGCATAATCGAAAAATGTCTCGTTGTGGTCAGTCTCCGTACGGGCCACTTAATTTATATTTCCAACTCTGTGGAAAACAGCAATTTTTATTTTTATTTAAACGTTTTATTTTATAAAATGGTTTCCGGGCAGTCCACTTTGATTTGTGATTTGTATTTTTCAATCCACCCCTGTTCGGGACCATTTCAAACCGATTCCTGAACACATTGGTGACTGTTCATGTCCTACACAATACACGGGACGTTGTACTTTCTACAGCCAAGTTCAAGGGCGCTTTTACAATAATGTGCATTGTGTTGGCCGCCTTTTATTTATTCTCTCTCTCATTCTCCCTCTCTCGTTCGAGCCTTTTGTGTGTCAGTCAATGTACTACGTGACCTCGCTAGATTGGGGAAATACTAAGAGCAGGAACCCTATTAACGATTTGTAAACCACAGCGTTTCGGTAGCGAAGAAAATTATTTTACCCAAACATAACCAGTAAGGACCAATCCAATAATTTCATTAAATAATGAGATCTTAACTTCCGGCGTACAAAACAATAAACTAATGTACATATTTTACAAATATTTTTCATTTTCACGTTACTATTTTAAATTCCCTAATAAGCTTCAAAATATCCTTAACTCGACAGAATAGAAAACCCGTACAACGCAAGTTCATTACAAATTGTTGTCGTAGCTTTTAAAAAATTAGATAATAATAGGTTTCAATTGTTAAAGATGATAAAATATATACTGAAAATATATGAATATCATTAATTTTTTGAGGAGGAGGGGCAGCAGTAGTTTGTACTCGTACCGCGTAACACTTCTCTTTTTCTTTTGATAAAATTGCTAGTTAAACTAGTGGCGTAGATAATATTCAATCCCTCCCCCCTAACTAACCCCCCAACTAACTCTCCTCGCATTGTTAAATTTTCAACTAGTAAATAAATAGGTGATTGTGGAAATAATCATTACCTAAGTATATCACACCCCCTCCCATCAATCATGTTTACCTACGCCCTTGAGATAGATGCTTCATTCATTTTTATTGAAGGTGCCGATAAACTTATGTGCCCTACCTACCCAACTCAAGCACTGCTTGTATAGTAATGTGATAACGTTGACCCACCGGCACAGGGTTCATTCTCGACTTACAGCAGTGTGCGTAAACAGAATAGTTTCTATGAACGAATCGTTGTGCAAAACGAGAGATATTTGTACGTACACGAGCATGTAAATTGCAGTGTAATATAGGTAAACGACGTTTTTCTTCCGAGTGCGCGTATATCATGCGTATCGATTTTCTTTCTCTTAACCTCGGCCGGTTAGTTCCGAGACGCGTTTATTATTACGCTTCACTCCTTCCCCTGGAAACAATACGTTTCCACGAAAACGCCAAGATTATCATTCGGAGGTGTAGGTAGCGACTATGGTTTTCAATCGAAAGGACACTTTTAAAACAGCGGTTTTTGTGTTATTATGCTCGATTGTTGTGTTCGCTGGGGCGAAAAAATTCCAAACTCCGATATTTACGTTAACGAAAGTCGCCGCTGGCCATGAAAGTTTTCGCGCTGTTTATATTTCCCGTCGTTTATTTGATTTCGTGTCTGCATGTATCCTATATACCATGCGTATATAATTAAATATACTCGTATTTTTCTCGTGAAACGGTACATTTTTTTGCATTCATATCCCACAAGCGTCTCCTCTCCGCCAAGACATTGATAGTTTCGCGCGTGGAGTGTCGATCCTGCAAAATTCTTGTCGAAAATAAATCCACTTGGACGTCAAGTTTTTATTTGCATAGTAAACAGTTTGTATAAGCACTACTATACCGTAATGAATCTAGTGAGACCCTGTTGAAATTTTCCCAAACTATTTTACAAATCACATTTATCGTTTCTGAATCGAATTTTTTCGTTTTTTTCCTTCGGCATTTTCCTTTATCGTTTAAATTGTCTATAGGTATCTAGAATACCTCCAGTATCCAGTCTCCAGAGTTTTCTTTCTGTCAACCCATATATTGTGTTTCTATTAACAGTCTATTTGTAAACTTTCGAAAGAAGGACTAATGCATTGGAGTTGCGGTAAATCCATTAAAGTTAATGTACTTTGCACACGATTACACAGATCGGAAAATACGTTTCGCGCATGTGCAATGATTAGTAATATGTTTTCCTTTTAAATAACTTGGACTTGGATTTATTGATGTGTTGTATTGATGGTTAATATCATACAGTTCAAAATCAGTCTGTAGTTCTAATCGCACGTAACGTACAATCAGCAGCTGAGTCGTCGATAGCGCATAATCGAGAGCGTACTCGGAAGTCGTAACTCGCGACCCTGGCAGATGATGCAAAAATAAAAAATAATTATGCACACGAATAGGATAGGCCAACACGAATGTTCAGAAACTCGTACGCTTCGAAACCCTATATCACCTACCCCCTCCATCGCCTCCGTCATCGTTTTTGTACCGGACAAGGCGATAAGAAAGTCTATCGGTTCATTATCAGTACATACACTGTATATATTGCGGTATATTTCGATTAGACGGTCTCTTCTTTCCATCATTATAACCGTAATTCGTTCAGATCGTTTACCGCAGTCGCCGCGTGAAAAGCTCCGCCGCTTTTATAGAGTAGTGTGCGCCTCACTGTACATTATTATAGCCGCGGCGAAGATGAGCGCTCCGTATTGACTACGTACCGGTGTGTTATATGCGTGACTCTGTAAGCAACATTTTCTGATTCTTATTTAAAATAACGTACATCATTCGTCGGCACCTGCAACATAGGTACCTGTTTGGAATAGCATACCTCGCGTGCACGCAAAAACAGTAACAAACGCGTGCGCGCGAATACTTGGATTTTTTTCACGCTATTTCGCTGTGTCCACTTGTGTTTAATGTTTCCCGTCGTTTTTAGTGTTCATACGTGCAGCCCAAGATGGTAGAAATGACAGACAACATGACGAGGAACTACAACAATTACACTTCCACGTCGAAACTAGAACAAGCATCCAAACAGGTGAGTTTCTGCGTCAGTTCGTATATTTCTGTACGTCTTTTCTTTTTTTTTTTTTATCAGAACACGGTATACCTTGTACACTGGCTTACGAATATAGTCATCGGTTCATTACTGTTGTCGATATTAAACATTAGTGTGTTGTTATACCGGCAAGGTCGACTGAGCGCGCACAAATTTCCGGGCTCAAGTTTAATGTTCGGTAGTTAGTGCTCGAAAAATCTTACGTACTAATCGAACCGCGTGTTTTTTTCTTCTTTTTTTTTCCAACCCAGATTAACCGAATGGTTTTACTCTTGACATTTTAATGGCGGTTCGTTGGCAACTTTTTTCTTCAACATATTTATTTTAATATTTTTATTGCTTAGAGGTCGTGCGCCGAAGGTTTTCGTGTACATCTATTACACGTCCTTTATTCGCGATTATCGCGATAGATACGTGTCAAAAAAAAAAAAATGCCAACAACCTTGATTGGACAGTAAAACAATAGAGATCATCACGTGAACAGTGATACATTTTAATACATTTTAAACGGGCGTGAGCACGTCTCTCATCGCGAAAATTTTCCGAAAACAAATTCCTAACGCGCGGTGTTGCGAAGTACTATTTTCTGGAAATCAGATTAATCATCGCGAAAACATGTAAACGCGCGTTATCTTCGAATAGTTTTGCCGGCACGAAACGAATAATAACACGCACGCGTTACGTTCTAATCCGTGCAACGTGGACAATGGAACTCGGGCGAAAAGGTTGGCCGTAAGGAAACGCTATCATGCGTTGTACATTATTATCGTTGGTTACTGGCGATCTCGTTCGAGGAAGAAATCGTACAAAAGAGGTCATCGCATTACGGGTTATACAACAACACTGCACGCGCACCCTTATCCCCTGCACGCATTACGTATGTGTGTGTGTGTGTGTGTATGTAATATCATCGCGGAAACCAACACCGATCAATGTAACGGGTGTAATTTTTAAAAAAAAATAAATATCTCAAACCGTAAGGGATGCGTGTCGAGGAAATAACAACTGTGTGGTTGGACGGAAATCCGAGGTTCGATTCGCGCTGACTAACTCCTCTCCGCTGTCGGGGTGCGGGCGAGTCGCAGGAAACCGAACGTCGACTGCCAGTAAACTTTGGTCTCGTCGACTTTATCGAGAGCTATCGCGCACACGCCGTGCCGTGGACGTGTTTTTATCGCAGTTTTACCGTACAGAAATAAAATATTTTGCACGTACTTAGTGTGTACCACGCTTTCAAACATGGAAGTATTGACCTCTGTCGTGCGTAATCGTAACTTGCGCGTACCCGTGCCCAACGTACATGCGATACACACGGCTGACGTATGCACCTCCTGTACACACCTATCGGCTAGCAGAATGTCGTATTCGTTGTCGTTTTCGTCCGCCAACGGTCGCTCGAAATTAAAATGCGCGTGTAAACGGAACGGAAATGACGGCCGAGAACCCCATTGTTCTTTGAACAATCGTTACCGTCCGTCCGTGTGACGAAACGAAAAGTCGCAGTCGAAAACGTAATCCATGTCTATGCGCCGTTTTCGATTATCATAATTCGGTGATATTATTTATGAACCGTATGCCCACGCTCGACCCGACACCCGCAACGACACTTATATGAAATTTATGGTCCGCAATAATACTATTTGCGCACAGGTACTCGCTAATCTACACTCTGTTTACCGTAGGTGCCAGCCGATTCTCGTTCGGTGTACGTTCGTGGTACGTCGTAAACGTGTGTGTTACACGACGCGCTCTAAAAACCGGAAATAAAAAGCTGTCGAAAAAAAATTTTAAAACATTTTATCACCGGACATCCGTCTTGGTGTTCTTTTACGCGCGTCGAGTGTGTCGACTGTGTCATCGGACACCGATTTTCCGTACGAATCGATGTGTTAATTGCTCTATTCATCGAGTCTACGTCTTCATCAGTCTTTCAAGTGGTACTCGCGGAAAGTCGGTGTAAAATAAAAAAAAGTTATACAATCCGTACGCACGCCAGCAAACGAGCTCGAATGCGTGCGATTAGAACGACAGAGAGAGAGAGAGAGTGAAAGGAAAAATACCATACTTACATACCATACTATACAATCACTATGATGTTATAACTCCGGCCGATATTTTTTAACCCGGGAATAATAATAATGCATTATTTATAATGCATCACGTCGAAATCGGTTTTTTCGGTTCCGCTTGCGTTCAAGTATTCCGTGACTTTGGAACATTTCGTCGAAATATTTACCCAATTATATAAGTGTCGGTTCGTATTAGCGGGATGGAGATGATTTTTGGCACCTATAAAAAACGGACGAAAAAATAAAAAAAATGCGCGCCATAAAGAAGATGGCCAGGGCGCATTAGTATCGGTAGCTCAGCTTTTAGTCGTGAAACGAAATATAAATACTTCTGACGATTCACTTCGCGCACGCACTCGCTTAGTGTATGCGGCTCGAATTACACACACGTCGTCGCGTTCTTCATATTAATACTACAAAGGACACTGTTGTATTATTATTACGTGTGTGTACGCGGAGATTTCGACCATTGTGTGGGCCAAGGACGACGACGACAAACCCACACACGCACACACGCGCAGAGAACCGTTCATCGAAATAATATATTTAATATTAACCGAGAGTACAATACCCCTCAAATTCGAGGACACATTGAGATATTATTATTACCATCATTATATCATACAGGTGTCCGGTATTGTTTTTGAACCGAGATGATTATGCGTTTAGTAGGCCGCAAACGTTCAATAAAATCGTCGATCTCGATGGAATCTGTCGGTCGGGCGGGGAACGGGGAACGTAAACTGGAGGATTAGTATAATAATTGTACGGTGACAGGGCCTTTTCTCGGAAACGAATCGTGCATATATGATTATACAAATAATAGTGAAATTCCGTCTGTTTCCGTAACCAGGACGAACGAACATAACCTAGCCCATTAGGACATTTCCCGATGTACCCATCCATCCCCACCTGATTGACTGCCATGTATTGAACGTTCCGCATTTGCATTACAACACAGCGTTTAATGGATCGTTGTTTATTTTCAGCAAACCCTGGCCATGGACGGTTACGACAACCAAGGGATGTTGAGATCTGAGTTGAACATCAACGGAAACGCGACCAACGTCGGTAACACGTGGTAAGTAGATTTATACCATCTATATAGTTAACAGTCGGAATGGAGACCAACTGCATTTTTACCCATGTTTTCTCTTCGCGTGTCATTAAATGGCACTAGGGGGGACGGGTAATTAGCCCTTATGAATGACCTATTTCTAAAGTCGGCAAATTCGTATATTTATAATCCCTTCCTTTCAATATTCCCTTGCGCCGGCTCTGCGTGGACAGAAATTCCAAGAGTGAACAAAACAATAGGCAACCAAACGTTCACTGTGTGTATGTGTTCACCCGTACACTATTCATACACATTACGTGAGATAACCATGGTGGATACTTGGTTGCCTATCGAAACAATTTCGCGGACTTAGTTTTGCTCCTTCACCCTCCCCCACGTTCGTTCAATTTCACCCCGTTAATTCACCACCCTTCGCTTCGACCAAGAGCTTAAAGTATTATCGTTTGCGCGTGCAGCGCACAGCATACTTATGCGATTGTGCGTCTACATGCAGTTATAATATTGTAAAAGAGAATTAAATAATATCGAATCACCGATCAACCTCATGTGCGGATAAATCTCCCATCGACCTTTTTCGTATTCGGTTACGAGGCTTATCGTGTACGAACGAATCCGAGCTCGCGGAATTTTCTCCGTGTGTACCGCATAAATTGTAAGCATACAACGAGTAACGCCAACCCACGGTACACTAATTGTGTTTGAACGCACCTACCGGCATATATTTCCAAGCGCTAAACTAATTTTTATTAGCAACTGTTTTACCGAATAACATTTTTGTTTCTCATTACGTAAATCAAATTTTTACCGTCGAATATTAAACTAATAATTACTACTCGGGAGGAGCATCTTCTTCCTCGAATAAAGAGCAGTCTTGACCTACTATTATTTTGATAACCGACGAAGTGAATATAAAATAAAATAATTTTTTACTTTCAATGTATGAGAATGTATGATTAAATTATCGAATAGATGCACTTGCCTAACTAGGCAGATAAACATTTTTCTCTATTGTTTCTTATCGAATTAATTTGCTGTTATCTAAGTTCGTTGTATGCTGGTATCCCGCTCTATTAGAATTAAATGTTAATTAAAGCATACGTATAATGTTGACTCTTTTCATTATGTTTATCACATTTTCCGCCTGCACATGAAAGCGTATACCAGTCTTAACGATTCTTCGTAAATTACTAATGATTACATTACATGATTGACGAATCACGGTTGGTCGACTGATCGTCACAAAATTGTATGCAAATGATTCGTTTGAACATACTCGTACAGAGTAATGGTAGAACGTTGCACAAGTTCGATCGGAAACCGAATTAATTCTGTAAAAACAAAATTGCTTACCGTTCTCGTATTATTTAAAAACACCGACACTCCGCCTCCCTAAAGAGTATGTTGGTTTTACGATGTTTCACGTACTAAACAATATTATCGTTTAATAGCATTAACATGGACAGCCTCAACAGCAAATGCGGTGTGGTCGGCACGAAGAGCGACAACGCCGGTCAGCTAAACGAGAAACAACATTTCTACGACCCGTACCAACATCGTGAAGTGAAACACCCTACATCGTAAGTACTTAAAAGCCATTTATAGCCAACGATCTGACCAACCCGACGAGCACACTGGGAATAATGGTTGTTTTATCTCGTCCTGTCAACAGGTATTTCGACACGCTGATACATTTCCTGAAGGCCAGTCTGGGCACCGGAATCCTGGCCATGCCGAGTGCGTTCAAAAACGCGGGCTATATAGTCGGTACTCTGGGTACCATCGCCATTGGAATCCTGTGCACGTACACGATTCACCTATTGGTCAGTATTTAAATATCTTCTATTTACGTATAACACAATTACAACTACCCATAACAGTAGTCAATAAAAACAAATCATTTCGTTAATTTTCGAACTTATTTTCCGAGACGAATGAAACATTTATTTTCTGTTCATAATTAAATCGTCTCCAAGTAAGGCCGCACGCTTGATATTTTTGCTTCGAACACTACCGCGGACTGTCTATTAGTGGGCATTACTGCTATACGCAACGTGAGCCGATGTTCGGTTACGATTGCTAATTTTCTTTTCGATTTGTCCACAGGTTACCGCGTCCTACGAGCTGTGCGTCAAGAGGAAGATACCGAGCCTCACGTATCCCGGCACTGTGGCCGCGGCTTTCGAAGATGGTCCAAGACCTGTCAGGAAATTCGCTCCTTTTGCCAAGTAATTAATCACTTTAACGAGCTACCCGCTATGCTTGTTTCGTCGGGCCGATACTCTGTGTACTGTAACGTGTGTGTTTCTTTCCCGTGTTTCAGAATGATGACCAACTTGTTTCTGGTGCTGTACCAAATCGGTTCTAGCTGTATATACGTCGTGTTTATAGCAAGCAATCTCAAAGCGGTAAGTAATCACTGATATCACACAGTGGCATTTCTCCTGCGGTCTAATAAATTCGGCACCGATTTTTAACGTTTTAACACCGTCGTTACAGATCGGTGACACCTACCTGAACAACGACACGGACGTGCGAATGTACATGGTCTACATACTTATTCCGCTGATATTGATCTCCTGGATAAGGAATTTAAAACTCCTGGCGCCGTTCTCCTCCATAGCCACTTGCATGACCATGGTCAGTTTCACGTTGATATTTTACTACATTTTCCGCGAAGCACCATCGTTTGAAAGTCGCGAACCGGTCGGCACCATCAAAAGCATACCTCTGTTCTTCGGCACCGTACTTTTTGCCATGGAAGCCATTGGTATGGTGAGTAATTGTTATTGCTACTGTTGCGACCAAACTAAGACGTAGGGTTTTTAAAAAAAAAAAATTTATCGAAATTCGATCTGCATATGATTTTAATCGCGTTCCGTGTGTACAGGTTTTGCCACTTGAAAACGAGATGAAGAACCCCAAAAGATTTGGCAGCATGTTTGGTGTGCTCAACTCTTCGATGATTCCCATATCTTTACTATATACGTTGGTCGGAATTCTCGGTTACTTAAAGTACGGCGAACATGTCAAAGGTAGCATTACATTGGACTTACCTCATGACGAAGTGTAAGTATTAACAAACTATTGTTTTCGATTGCATTTTTGTGTGGAGAAACTATTGTATATTTATTGGTTTTTGTTTTATTTTCACACATAGGCTCGCTCAAGTCGTCAAACTCTTGTTGTCGTTGTCTATTTATATTTGTTACGCTTTGTCCAACTACGTCGCTTTCGACATTTTATGGAAAGGTTTCGAACATAAAATGGAAAAAAACGAACATAAAATCTGCTGGGAGTATGCACTTCGCACATCCATTGTGATAACCACATGTAAGCGAAATATTTAAACAAATAATTATTATTCCGTGTGTTTGAAAAAAATAACAATAATATAAATCATGTTCAGGCAACTTGACTCAATCCGTTTTTTTTTTTTGTTTTTGTTTTATGCAGTCTTCTTCGCCATCGCCATACCAAACTTGGAACACTTGATCTCACTGATTGGAGCGTTTTGCTTATCTTCTGTCGGTATCGCATTCCCAGCTATCGTCAGTTTCCTAACATTCAATGAAGTTTACAAGAACGCAGGAAACTTCCGGTATAGTTTGTTTTGTCTGCGTAACCTGGTGATAGTCATAATTGCCATTTTCGCATTCATCATTGGTGTGTTCACAAGCGTGTCAGACATCATTCATCACATGAAGTGATCTCTCCCCAAACATCGTGGTCGTGATGTTCACTTGAGGTGATGGGTTAGATATACACTTGACCTACACCGAAAACAGACAAAACCAACAACAATGACGATGATGACATAGAATACAAAAATTACCCTATTGGTGGTCACTTGGGTAGTAAAAATGTCCTCTTTTATTTTATTAAGGAGTTATCATTGTTTATATTATTACATCAATTTCATGTTTGCTCAGGCAAAATGTTAAACTGAGTAACAAAACGACTCAAATGCAGTATTCGATCGCGTCATAAACCACAATAGTTTGTGTTATTGGTTTAGAATTTTGTCAATGGATAATGCCAACTCAGTATTTTTATTGTCTTTTTAATCTTCTTATTTGATTTTATTAACTATAAACTGTTATAAATGGTATTCACTGTTTAAAACAAAAAAAATATTATCAACATAAATGTTAGTATACCCATTGGTCTACTTATTGTAATAGAGACCTAACAACTTCAGATTTCATATTATGGTGTTAATCAAAATCATGTGTTGTATTTGTAAAAACATATGGTTCATAAAGCGTTTTACAAAATAATGTTTTTTTTTTACTAAATTTGGAGCAATGCTCTGGACAAAAAAAATGTGTCAAAAAATATATTCTTTGTCTTTATACATGCTTATAATTTTTTTTTTTTTACTATCCGTGTTAAAATATTGAACTATTTACTACTCTGTATAAATATAAGTAGAGCGGATACAAATTTGATTTGATTTTAAGCTCATTGCCATGATTTATTTACTTAAGAACAAATAACAGAATATTATATTTAGTTCACTTATGAATACTTGTCTTCTTGAATTGGCTATAAAAAACAACAGCCGTTAAAAACATTCCTTTGCTGACAAAGTTTTTCAATTATATTTTGTATATGTAATGTACGGTGTAGATGAACCATTTGAAATTATGTTGCTCAATAATAAATACATACTATATTTATTTTATTATTTATTCTATATAAAATGTATCAATTGATGTAAAGTGGTTAATAAAAAAAAATTATTGTTGAGATAGATCTCTAGTATAATTTTTTTTTCTCTTGGAGTTACTTAATTCGAATTAACATTATGATATTATTATTGTGATACAAGTTTATTATGTTTTTGATTTAAAAAATAACATAAATGGCTATTATTATAAATTTTAAATAATTAAAATTCTCTATAGTATAAATATGGTATACTTTATGTAAATTTAAGGTATATATTTTGTAATAAATTAGATTTTTATAATGTATTTTAGACTGACATAATTTACAAGGTGATTTTTTTTTTTGCTAGTTTATTGTATGTAAAATTATTGTAATGAACATTATTGACTAGTTTTTTTTTTTTTTTTTTTTTGTTATTATACGCATAATTATATACTATTTGGTTTTTTTTTTTTACGATCACCAAACACATATTCGCCTTGTTCAAATTAGATAAATTGATTTACATTTAAACCTTGAGTTTTTAAACAGATTTAAAATTATTGATGAATTTAAAATAGTCTTAATAATTGCATCTCTTATAGTCAGGAATATGAAATGTATATACTTATTAAATGTGTATAGTATAAAGTTTTTGTAAACCAGAAATTATGATTTTCAAATAAATGTTTAATTATTCATTAATAAAAATCAAAAGATTTCCCAACATTTGAAGAAAAATGTGATTGTTACATTCACATTTCAAGTTTGACTTACTGAAATAGTTTATTATATAAAAGTGATGGTATGTTTTTAAATTATCCATTTATTAAACTGTTGTTATTAAAAAATTAAAAACACTAATAAAAAATACTATAACTTTGTTTTGATTAGCTAATGCTTAACTGTATGTTGTTATATTTAATTTATAAGTTCAACAAGGTGTTGTGTTTCATTATTAATATCATAGTTTGAACACAAACAAAAAGGAGAAACAAACTGTAAATTTAAATAATTATTTATTATTACTTATTTTTTTATTATTATTACCTATAATGTATCTAAATTCTACAAATAAGCATATATTTTTAGTACTTGCACATAATTTTGTCTTTGAGAATGTTGAGAACTTCATAACATTATAATACTAACAAATGTTACAGGTGACCTTTTCAAAACTGATCTCTCATAAAATATGATAAAATAATTATAGAAATAAATTCACATTATAGATGTATTTATAAAAAGATATATATATTTAAAAATCAAACATTTTATACACAGGGTATTGTAACTGATTAACTAATATACATCAAATATAATCTTTCGCATTGGATTATTTCATGTAATATTTAATCACAAACAACTACCATGAATTTGTGCCGACAGTAGTTATACAGTTTAGTAGTGTGTCTGCATATGATCGATGTAACATTTAATACTTGATTGTTTTGAACTGTGTATAATAAATTATTATAATATTAACATTGCAACGAAGATGTCAAATTCAAAACTGACTGAACAATACTTTAAATTTGTAGACATTTATCCAACACAAATCTGTATATTTTAAAATTCAAATATATATATAAACATTGTAAAATATTTTGTATACAGTGTAATACAGTTCACTTGCAGACACGAACACTCAACAAATATTGTATGGATTATTGCTAAAATTTGATGATTAATTAAACCATATTGTTTGATTTGTATCTATGATTTACAGTAACCTTACAAAGCAATCATTCTTTTATTTATAGTTTCTAATTATATCAAAAATTATTTTTATCTAACAATTGTATGCACAAGTGAGCCATTGATAATGCTGTATGTACGCAGTGTTGCATATACAAAACCCCTTTAGTTACAACATACGTAATTCATTTCAATTGTTTTCGTTTTCGCTCGTGTTTTATTATACGGATGACCGAAGTTGAGTAGTTTGAAACTAAATTATCTAAAAAATTAATCAATACGTCGAAAAAAAAAGTACATAAGGATTGTACATGTAACGGATTTATAAAAATAAAAAATTAAATCTGAACTTGAAGTATGTCACTTTAATCGAATTGTCGATGTACAGTTAATATACTCTACTACAACGGGTCCCAAACAGTGCCCCGTAGGGCTCCAAAATTGTTTCTCGTGGTCTCCCTACGTTTTACCATAAAATATTTAAGAACATAACAATTAATGATCGTCATTAAAAAAAACCGAGCAAATATATTTTAACAATACTCCGTCGGATCAAATATAATTCAATAATACGTGTACGTAAAATCTGATTTTACACATTCCCATTCCTAGTATTACCCGGCTAGGTATATTTTATTTAAGTATAATATTAAATACACATTACTTCGTTTTGAGTTTCCTTCTATATGCATACCATGTGTATTATGCTTCGTTTAATGCAGGTCAATAAAACTTGATATTAAATATTTCTTGGAGCTCCATGGGAAAATAATGCTTAAAAAAAGCACCGTGGCTGAAAAAGTATGGGAGTCACTGCTCAAATAATATGAAAAAAAAATATATATAAAATAAGAATAATAATAATGCTCGTAATACGTACTCGTGTTTACACATAATACCTACGTATATAATCGATGGAAAAAATCCGATCATGAAATTCGGATTAGATGAAAAACCTGAATTTCGGATTTGAAATTTGGATTTTACTCTCAATAATTGAATTAGTATTCATTAATGTATTACTTATATTGAAGCATAGATAACTACACATATATTTATTTATTTTTTCGTAATAAATTAATATATTTAATACAATTTTTTTTATATTGTTTTTATTTATATTATAACATTCGAACCAAATTTACAAGTGTACTGGGTATTTAGTATTATTCATACCAGTTATACTTTTTCTACAGAATAATTCAAGATTTCATGCTAGGGTTGTATCATATAAAAATCTTTTATTTTACTAAAACTCAATATGTTTTTGATATTCTGATTGAAATGAAATACAAGTCAGTCTTTCGATTAATTTTTAAATTAGAATTATTTTTTTATTTAAATAGAAAATGTTCATATGATGTTTTATTTTAAGAAACACAACAATTTAATTTTCTGATTTAGAATACAGACATCTACAACATAATCTATATACTATATACATATACTCTTATATATATATATATAATTATTATATTAATATTATACATTACTTATTTCGATACGGAGAGAATACATAATAATAACAGTAACGCCATCAAAAAATAATAAATATAAACGAAAAACAATTTAAAATAAAAGATTCACTTCTATATTTATATATTTATATGTTCCTGTATATATATACATATATATATATATATGTTCTATATTTATACGTTAAAACTTAGAATTTTTTTTTTTGTTTTATAATTATTATAGTATTATTATAGTATCAATACATGAATTAACACTGTTCTTAGGAATATGGACTAAATAAAAAAATTGTTTATCAACAAACTAACGAGACTCATTGGACATCATAGTTTTGTTTTAACTGGTCTGTTGATTGCGCACACATTAGGAAATAAACTTAAAAAAAAAAAAAAAAAACTAACATGTACTCGTACAATACATTAGAACTCTTTATTACTATTGTTGCTCTTATGTTACACTCGTCACAAGTGTTAACAATATTACATTGTGTTGTATATTATATTACACTTGTACATGTAGACTGCTTTCTTGTGTGCGATGCGCAGACGAATGATTAATAATAAAAGAATGTCGAAAAGCGAGTACATGATCTAGAGTTTTTTTTTCCACCATGTGTGAGCCCGTATGTCAATTTATTTGGTTTGTTCGTAAGTCATCATTCCACGATCAAAGCGTTTTCGTATACATCGCTGTGACGAATCGTTCACACCGGCCGTCGCTGATACAATTTAGTCAATTGAATTTGGACGTAAAAAAATGAACAAACCGATCGATCGTATCGACCACGCTATCGAGGCACTAATACATAGGGGGCCATATAATAAGAGGCGAATTAGATTTTTTAACAACGATAGGCACTAAACATTTGTCGCCTCTAGAACAAGAAATAATTCACAAATACAATAGATATAGTTATGATAAATATTTATGCATAACAATTATTAACGTTACAATTTTAATTTTAAAAGTTGTAGTTATTATTAGGGTTCGGAAGTTAAAAGAGTTGCATATTATTCTGTATGCTCTCGATTTATAGCAGACCAAGATGGA